GAGCGGGGCCGCGGGCGCCCCCGGCTGCGCGGTGCCGGCCGGGCGGCGCCGAGGCCTGGCGGAGCTTTGGGGGCAGCGGGCGGTGGTGTCTCTGTGCGCTCCCTCCCGGCCTCCCGCGGGCAGGGTACTGGAGAACGGGGGTTGGGGAAGCCTTAAACAAGCGAGGAGAACTTTCAGGAGTGGCGGTGCCGGCGGCCGAGGCCGCCCCCGTGTGCGTCCCCGCGGCGCTGAGCCCGTCCCTGGCTGCTGCTTGGTGGGACAGGGCGAGTGAAGCGATGAGGGTTGCGTTTCCGTCTTCCAAAAGGATAAAATTTCACGGTGCTCCTTCAGGTCTGAAACTTAGTGACTTTAAGATTATCAAATATAACTTCAGTGAAGCAAAACTGTTTGTTATGGGATACCCTAATACAGCCGGTCTTTTCACAGAAACCAGTGAGTTCAATTCTGTAATTAACGGGGTGCATATCCGAGCATCTCACACTCTGCAGAGTTCTGTTGCCCTCTGTCAGCAGAAATTTTAGTGTGGCCAAGTGGTGATTGAGATTTTGGAATGGAAATTACTAGTTTGCCTTTAGATTATAGTTTCATAATCCTGTTCACCTGTTCCTGTTTAGGAACTCTAAAGCCAGGAAACGAGGAGTGATCAGAGATCTGTTACTGAAAATGGAGGAAAGATTAGGACCAGACCATTCTGGGCCAGTCAAGCTCTACCTCTGCTTAGATTCCACAGCAGTTTAAAGCAAAGTGAGTTTATTGGTTTGGCTGTGGTTGCTGCTTCCCAGTGCAGTACAAGCTCTGGCGCCCCCCGGTCCTTGCCCTGCTTGTGCTCCTCTGAGCATATGAGTGAGCTGATCTGGTGTGGTGACCTGATTGAAAACTACCTAGTTTTTGGCCAGCTCAGTGCTCATCATATATTGCCTCATCGTGTAATTATGAAAATGTCGATGCTGCTGTAAAGGACTTACGGAGGATGGCAGGATGACAAACTCTGACTTAATAATCTTGGAATACCATGAAACAGCATTCTGAGTTACTAGGGGTGGAGTCAGCTGAAATGTGAAACCCAGCTTTCGACTGGTGTAACTACTTAAAAGAGTTTTTTTCCCCGTGTTTTTGCATTAGTTCAAGTTAATACAGATTTTAACATGGAAAAAATGTAAGGATAATTGTGCCTCACTTCTAGTTTGTGATGAAGAACTTCTTGTGAGTGCTTGAAATCTATTAGTTCTAAATAAAAATACGATGGACAAAACCATATGTATGATAATTCTTTTACTAAAGAAAACATGCAGTTTAAATGAAGCAAACTTTTTTTGGGTGGAAGATAATAATGTAAACAAATGATTTATACTATTGAACACTGAAATGACTTTAAGCTGCATCATACTGCTAGTGAGCAAAAGAAGAACCAAGTTTATTTTAAAAGCTGTACTGTTCTAGTAGTTGTAGTAAAAGTATAGTTTTAAAATTAAATATATGAGTGGGGAAGAGCTTCAGCAAGGTGCAAGAAGCTTCTTGCTGCAGTTAGATAAGATATAAATCTGCCCCATGTTGTCAAATAGAAAAGTTTTACTGACTGACAAAGTTATTTTCTAAAGGTCTCAAGTGCCACAAAGCATTCCACTGTATACAGTTCTTTGGGGGTATATCTCCTTACAAAACCAGTGTATGTTGTCACCTGTGTGGGAGTTCTTTACCTATAAACTGCTATCAGGCTGAAGGCTCAGGATAAACATCCCCTCTTGTAAGTTCTTGAAACATGCTATTTGTGCAAAAAGTGCATGTGCAAAACTTATTTGTGAGTCAGACTCTTAGAAAAGAGAAAAGGCTTTTGTTTAAGGAAAAGCTCTGACCTGTGGCAGTTAAGAAATGTCCCACTGCATGTTCCTTTAGATGCATTTGTAAATTATTCTTGAGTGTTAAACTGTATTCCATTCACTATCGTAAGTGACACACACATCTTGCTGAATGTATTGGTGTTTTTCAGTTTTTATACGTCAGCTACTTCTCCAGTAGAGGCTGACCACTATTGCCACATATCTGTTTTATGCCCACTTCTGACTATCGGGTGATCATGTAATATCCTGCAGGGTACATAACTTTACAGAGTACATTGCATTTAGATCACCTTCTAATCCTTGAAGTTTAACATTTTGTATGCATTAATAGTAACTTTCATAAATGGGTTGCTTCAGCTGTGTTCAATGATAGCTTTAAAATACAGTTCAGCAAAGCAAATCTAACTATCATCTGAAGGCAGTGTTTTTCTGTTTTCTGTAGCCAAGAAGTGTTTTCTTTGCCTGAATAGTCTAGTTTGGTATATTCCACAAGGGCAGAAAGAGCTCGGTCATGCTCTGGGATAGGGGAGGGAGACATTGAATTTTCTGTGAGTTTTTGGAAACATGCAAACATGAAAACTTCAAGCATTGAATAAGGCTTTGGAATTGTGCACCTGGAAGAATTTAGCAATGGTGGTGACATGTTTAAGAAGAAAATAACTTAAAAGGAAGTATCATATTGAAACTAGAAACAACAAGAAACAGGTTGAAGCAGGATCCTCCAATAAACAATAATTCACAGGAATTTATTGGGTAATCAGTTTGGTAAGGAGTTGTTTGTTTCAAACACTACTCTAGCCTGAGGAACAAGAGGACTGGAGACTGAAGGCTTGTATCTTGAGACTTGGTATAAACAGCTTAAGAACACTTTAAGAAGTTAATAGCTAAACATCTTCATAAATGCCTGGGATGCAGGACTGGAAGGGATACTAAGCAAGTTTGCAGACGATGATACAAAACTGGGAGTACAATATTTTGTCAATATTGCCACTTCAGTTAGGCAGATAATGTTCATCTTTCTGTTCAGGTCCAAAAAAGTGCTATTCTAATAGCAATTTTGAGATATACAGAAGAAATCAGTCTGTTGTCAGTTCTGTGAATTTAGTGAGGTCAGTGAATTTGACCCTATTAAAATGGAACATGTTTCCCTTACACTGTAATTTAGCATTTTTGTGCTGCCAGCCATACCGTTCTTCTGTGTGTGGCACTGATGTTTGATGGTACCAGTTTCTTGCTCTCTAACTGTTCTGGCAGAGGGAGAGTTAAGTGGATTGTAGTGCATGGAAAAGGGTAGAAAGTATAGCCACAAGCTTAGCAGAGGAGAGTGGTTATAACAGGCAGCTTGGTTCTTCCCTTGGCCTGTACACAGCTGTTTTCATCAGAGCTTAACCAGCAGTTTCACCAGTTTGTTTCTCAGCTATTCTTATTTTAAGAAATTGGTCCAGAACCTGTCAAAGAACTTCAAAATATGGGGTAAACTTAAAAGGATGAAACATGTAATGATTTGAAGTTCAAACTTCATTTAAAAACTCTGCTGAATTTGACAAACATTTGACAGCAAATACTGTTTTGCATAGGAATGTTGTGAAGCAATGAAACGTTATCAAGATTTTTCCCGTTAAAAAGTTGAGGTATCAGACATCTAGCATTGCATTGACTATCTGCTATCTAATAAAGCCATTGCTTCTATGACTAAATAAAGCATTACAAATTTGTGGTATTGTTGCAAACTTTCAGAAAAGCTGTTAAGGAGAAGTATAAATTCTTAGTGCATTTTGGAATTGAATTAAGCATTTATCATCCCAGTTTTTTACTCCTGTGTGATTATGAGCAGGAAGGAAATGCATCCTTCCTGTTTTGCTGCACTTGTGGGCTGTGCTGTAGGAGAGACATGAGTGTCGGTTGGTTCATATAGTTGATAAAACTTAGGTTGTTAATGAAAGGAGTTTTGACAGGAACATAGCCATCAGGGCTGCACCCCTCACCATTTGGACATTCTGCTAAGTTTGCTGTGGAGTTACAGTAGTACAAATATGCCGCATGGATTGAAAAGTATTTCTGACAACGATGATCTCCATTAACAAAAGGAGGTTACAACTGATTGTTGAGGGATTTCTTATGGTTAAAACATGACTTGCCTGAGCACAGGGCCTCAGTCTTCATGACTGCAACTTACGCTGCTATGTATTTCGCAAACTAATTTGAAATTGTCCTTTCATTCTGAAAAGTTTTCAGGTCACAGTATAGACACTTTTTCTATATCTGCAATACTAAAATTTCTGCTACCCAGGGATGTTGAAGCTAGATTAACTGATAGAGGTAGTTAAGAAATGTCTGGTTGCTTAAGCAAGAGGTGCTTTGAATTGTCAAACAGATCACTGAGAATGCTTCTCTGTGACATCAGTGAATTTTGAAACTTCATATTTCTTCTTTTTTATATTTTTGACAGTGGTGTGTGTTAGGATTTGTCCAGCCCAGTAGTGTGATGGAGGCAACGCTGCTGCATTTCCATGTTCCTGGGTGTCCAAGCAGTAGCGAAGTAGAGCATTTATTCCAGTGGGATCATAGGCTCCTAGTGCATGCACACATGGCTGGCCACAGAGATCAGCACACAGGAAACAGCGTTTGCACAGCCACAAACAAATGTCCTGATTCTGTTCCCTTCTCTGATCAGGGTGAAAGGTTTCAATGAAAAGTACATCAGTGTATGTAAGGTGGATTCCTCCAGTAACTGGCCTTAGACACTTGGTCCATCCAGGAACAGGCTCCTGATTTTCCAGCCTGTTGCTGACCTGAGTGTGTGAATCCTTGAGGTTCGCAGACCAAACTCAGTTTCTGGTACTCACACCCTCTTGGATGTGCAGACACATGTACAGGTGAATGTGCTGGACCTTTCCAGTTACTGGCTTTATCCTGTGGCAGCTGGCCACAGGATTGCCTCATGAGAGAGAGTCTTCTGGATAGCTGGTCCTGACCACGTTAGCCACTCCTCAAATGCCAGGTGGCCAGCTCAGACTTTCTGGTGCTTCCAGTTGCCATCCCTCAGTCCCTAATCTCTTGTGGCTGTGTGAGAGAGGTTCTTTCAGTAGCTCAGACTCACTGTTCTCTGCAGTGTGGCCCAGTCTTAGGGCCTGTCTGGCTGGCTCCCCAGCCTCTTGCTGTGCTTGCAGGCTGGTCTGGTTGCGGTGGTTCCGTGCACCAGCGTGCACCCACCCACACAGTGTGCACACGCGTGTCTCCAGTCCCTGGCTCTGCAGGCTCACGGGCACCTAGCATCTGTGGCCATCTTCTCACTTGCAGCCACTCTGACCTCTGCATGTGCAGGTGGAATGGAGCCATTCCCACACCCAGGAAAACAGAAGTCTTCACATGTGACTAGAACCTCTTATCATCTGTTTTTTGCATTCTCCTTCCTCCCCAGCCCACCTTTGATCCCACAGTGAGTCCTACACCCTTTCAGGCAGTAACCCCATTAGGCATTTGGTAAACTGGCCTGGAGAGTCTCTCCTGTTACCTACGCTGTTGGATGGATCATCTGCCTGGTTCATGGGCTCTCTCTGCCCTTGTGAATTGGGGCTGTGTTAGGATACTCGTGTGCCTTGTTTAGTTTGTTTCACCTTACATGATTTTCTGCTTTCTATTTGTGGGAACTGGTCTTTAATCACATAACAATAATAGATGTGAGCAAAATATCCCTCCCTAGTAGTGAAGGTGACCATTCCTGTCTGACTACTAACCTCTCTGAGGTAACAATGACTGTACCTGTTTGTGAACAGGTACAATGCATCTCCCTAGCTGTATAAAGCAATTGTTTGTAGTCCAAGCTTTCATCAAATTTCATTTCAAGTAAAAAAATACTTTAACGAGTGGCATTTTAAATGATCTTAATGTGAATGACAAGAAGAAAATGTTGCCCAGTTATTCCAGTATCTTAATCCTTTATATGAAAAAACTTTGGGGAATATGGTAGCATGTGGTCAACTGGGGGAGATGGCTGTTGACAGGAATGTCTTGAGCTAACATTAGGTAAATGGCATACATACGTATCCTAGTAACACTTTTGTTTTAAATATGCAGCTTATGAATCAAACGCAAGGCTGATAATCTTGTGCTAAATGGAATGTTTGAAAGGCCTGATGTGTCAGAGAAGTGACACAGCCATTACTTCAGATTTGCCTCTTGCCTTGGTAGTTTGGGTAGGGTAATACTCAAGACAGTTAAGAAAATTCTTGTTGACAACTGAAAGAGGAATCTCCTGTAATAATAGCATAGTAGTCTTCCAAACCACAAAAATCTTTTGGAGAGATTTTTCTATTAATTTATCTTAAAAGTAATGAGAAACAGTTACATCAAAAAGCTAGTAGTAGAGATCGTAAAGATTGTTCTTCAGATAAGTGCAAGACCTTATGTGCCTTGGAGTTTTTATAAAACTTCAAAAGCCACGAAGAGTAATGCAAGAAAGAATCTGGCAAAGGGAGCTCATGGTTTTATGCTTCAGTAAAGAGTAGTGCAGATATCCGTGAAATAGAGTTGCAGTCTATATTTTCATTTTTTGTACCTGGGTATTTATTTGTGGAGAGCATTCTTAAGTTGTGAAATGAAATTACAATTCTACCTTTAAAAATTTTTGCAAACACATTTATCTACAGAATACAAGGATTTCCTGTGATCTACCAAAGAACTGCACCATCCCCCACAGCACTTAAATGAGGCTTTGTGAAACACTGTTTATCAGGTCGTTTTTCTCAAGTGTTACAGAAAGCAAAAATTGATAATCTTGACATTTTTTGATGCTACATTAAGCTGTTATTGTCTGGTATTTGCAAAACATTGGCCTTCACAGGTTTCAGATTTTACTACCAAGATGGTACTGATTAATTTCAAACTTGCAAAGCCAACTTTCAGTAGAGTTCTGAGCTATAGTCCTTAAATAGTGCAGATGAAAATCAGCAGCTTTTGTGTCAGTTTTCTTGCACATCTTTCATTCACAGATACTAACTTTCAAAGGAGAATAAACACTACTGGCTGTATATCACCAGGGCAGGGAGCAGAGAAGGTCACTCAAGAGAGTATCTCTTGCTTTACAATATTCTACTTACTCATTTCAGATCGTAATTCTTGATGTTGATTTTCTCACCAGAACCTTTGAAATACACACTTTTGTTTCTATTTAAAAATATTTCCTATACTGCTGTTGCATAAAATGTAATGGTGAATTAATAAATCCTGCTTTTTTTTTAGCTGTTAATGTGGCACAAGTCAATGAATAATTAGTCTTGCTTTTAGTATGTAGAAAGAAAACTCATGAAATGTGATTATTTCTGTATTGAATTAATAATTTCTTACAAAACAGTGGAATTACTTGGTGCTACTAAGTCCTGTTTTTTATTAAAAATCCAATTTGCACATTTGCACTGATTAGAGTAATGGGTGAATAGGGATTGTGTTAAATGGACAAAGTAACCTCAAAAATGAAAAGTTACAGTTGCTCCTCTGCTTTGAGTAGACAAAGGTATTGAAAAGGTTAAGTTCTTTCTAGCAATAACTGTTGCCATTCACTGGTTACTCATTACCTATGGGCTTAATTTAAGCCTAGAACATAGAAGGATCTTCAAAAATCTTAGCCCCTCTGTTTTTCTCATCCTGAAAATATAGCAAGGTGGGACAATTCTACCTTTAAAAAATTCTGATTGGCTTCTAATACCTTCTCTTTTGTATTCAAGTTGCATTACATGGCCAGTTTTCTGCCAACTAATTAATATTCAAATTATGCTCGAGCTAGGAGACTATCAATTTAAGTTTGCCATAAAATCAGTAACATTTATATAGGTTATTTTTGTCTTATTCTGTTAGGTGTAAGAATTTGTCTGTATCTTTCTGGAATTCCTATTGGATGCTGCCCTCTGATGTTTGTGGAATGAACTGCTTTTGGGAAGCTGCTTTTAGGTAGGATGTTAAATAGTACTTTATTGTTTGATTGCAGACAGATGTAGCTGATGTTTTTTGGCTCTTTAGCAAGGTGGCAAAACAAAATATCTTGATTACTTCACATGCATTTCACCTGCTTATATTGCCTTTAGCTGGGTTTTTTCACGTTACATTATGTTCTGGAATTGTAGACTCAAGTGTTACTACCAAGAGTAGATTATTTCAATTATATTGCTTTGTTAAATAGAAACTTGCTAACGTCTGTTAAAAGCTTGTCTGAGTATAGTCTGAAAAGTTAATGATAAATTATTTTCCTAAAATGATATTTGCTGCATACTAATACCTGTGATTGCAATAAAATTATCTGCTTAGTGAGTACATGTGGATTTTTTAAAATTCAAATTACATGTTTTATAGAAGTTAAGGAAGGTTCTTCATCCAAAAGCACTGAAGAGACCGTTTTGAATGTTCTTTAACTTTAGTATGTTAAAGAATAGACTGTCTCTTTAAGGCTGCATCTTTAACAATAAGTTTAAATGTTTTGACATGGTGGCTCAGATGTTTTAGGCTACACAGGTAGCTTGAAAAGAAGTAAGCTACTTGTCAGGTAGTTCTCTAACATGCATAGTTCTCTTCAGTATATAACCAAAGTTGTAAGTCAATTTTTCTTACATGTAAAATTTTGCTGATCATCCTTTGATATGGTTATCTTTTCCTGTTAGTAGGAAGCTTGAATATTTCTGGGAAAGCAAAGGAGAATAAAAAAGCTTAGCTTCACAAGACATACTAATTTTTGAAAATTATTGTGAGAAAGGCTTTAGATCCCTTATTCTTCTCTGTTTGTGTGTTGTCAGTGCTTTTTAAGCTCAACAGTTGTCAATAAATTCCTTAATGAGGTTAACTAGATTGATTTTTATTCTGTTAGTGAACTTCATCTGCAATTTGGGGCTGCTGAGTTTTTCTCATTACCATTAGTAGCAATCCATACTGTGTTAATCCATGGAGATGCACATGAGTTTGTTAGGCAGACTTAGCTATCTGAATAGACAGAAACAACTTTTTTTTTCCTTATGGGTTATGTTTTGCGAGTTCAGCTTTATGAAGTTTAGTGCAGTGGGATAAATGAAATGCTGTTGTGGTTGAGGGTGTAGGGGCTTAGCTTACGCTAGGTGGAGGGACAGGATGTGATTGTAAGCTTTGTTTAATCCTTGGACATCCGGGCCAGTCTAACACTTGTAGTGTTGAGACAGGGGCGGGTCTTGCTGTCTTCTGACCCCACTAAGCAGGAAGAAGTCCAGGAATACAAAGTAATGCACAAAAATAGCAGAAAACCTCCTTTCTGGATATTCTGTCAGGCTTGAGACAAGTGGAACCTTGGAACCAAAAATGGACAAATCCCATGCAGTTTATTTGCACGTACCTTAAGCTGTAACTTGTACTAATCGATTAAGAATTGTTGTGAAGACAATTCTGTTCAAGTATGCATTGATTATGACTTTACTGGATGAGTCCACTTTCATGGTGAAACATGATTCATGGTGAACGCCTAATGTTTGCAGAATTTCATGTTTATACATTTTGAAATTGAAAGAAAAAAAACTGCTTAAAGGGGTAAAGGGTGTGTCATGTTCAGATGAAACATTTCACATTAAGCTGGATTGTTTTATCAATATCTTAGTATTAAATCAGTCCCCAAATGTTGTGCTGACTTCAGTGCTTGTTGAATTCTTCAGTGAGATGCTCTAATTTATCTCAGAGTTAGTTAGAATGTCTCCTTTCCATTTTCCACTCAGTTTTTGAAACATTGGGAGCTTTTGGATTTGTAAGTATTTTTGTTGAAAAAAAGCTTGTAATCTCTCTGTTTCTAACTTGTAATTCCACTTAGCTTTTTTAGTTCTTAGGGGACATTACTATGGCTGTCTGACCAGGCTGATTTCAGTTGTTGGATGTTGAAGCTAAGTGGATTTTAACTTGTGTTGCCTGCTAAAGTAGAAAGTTTCACTAAGTTTTTGGGTATTTTGAGCTTCATGTGGTGTGGTTATATTGAAATGAATTCTGATAGTCCTGAAAAAAGGAATTTCTCTAAATTAGCAGGCTCATTGGAGAATGGGGCTTCTATTTTTATAGTCAATTCAAAATTACTCATATATTGTAACTTCAAACCTAATCTACTAAATGAGTTGGCTTTGAGTAGATTACATTTGGACATCATATGCAGTGGTATCATTAGTGTACTTTTACAACATAAGCTCTTGATTATGGCATGTTTTGCATGCAGTGCTGTAGTAGAACATTAAGTTAAATAAAACCTAGAATTTTCATCACTTTCAAATCCAGATAATGTCTGTAGTTACCTTGATCCTACTTTTAATAAGTGTGGGAGTGATTTAACAGCTGGATTTTAATCAGTGTAGCTTTGTTGCCTTTTTACTCTGCCCATTTGCTTTGTTTTTCTTATTTTATGTTTTTGAGACTGCTGGATTAGGCTTCTTAGTGGTTGATTTAGATCAAACAGGGCATTAAAAGGAAAAAGGATGAAATAAGTAAGCTGTCTGTATTGTACTTACATCTCTGCCATTTGATTCTCTGAGGTATACTGTAGTGTCAGCTTTGAAATAATACAGTTTGATTATGTGAAAATACTTTCCCTGCACAGTTTAATGAATATAATTAACAGTTTTTAATGATGAAAACCACTTCTGTTACACCAAATTAGATGGAACTGTATACAGGGTATTCCTGAGGTTTTGGTACCCTCTCACCTGTGCTTTCCATGTGTTATGTGAGAATAAACATTACCCTTAAACAAATAAAGGTGAGCTCTACTGCAATTCCTTGTGTCAAGTCTAAAGGACAGAGCTAAACTTTCTGTGGAGCTAGTGGATATTTTAGTGCCAATAAAATATGTGTTGGGTTTTTTTTCCCCAGGAACTGCAGCTGGGATGCCATGAGGTTCTAAAAAAGTAAAACTTGTCAAAACATACCTCTGTAGCTTACTATCAAATTACAGCTTTGTAGCTGTAATTGACCTAGAAATGCGAATTTAATATACAATGTGTCATGGTAAACATCTTTAAATATAAGGCAGTGTCTTGACAGACAGGCTCTGGAAAACCTTGTTATAGAAGATTCACTGAGGATGTCCTATGTTCTTCTCTCTCAGAGGTTATTAGAAGCAGAATTAATTAGTATAGAATGAAGGTCTACACTTGGCACAGAAATACTTCAGGGCAAGGCTTGTACCTGGCCTTTTGCTGCTGCTGAGTAGCATGTTTTAAAATACATGGTTTTTACCCACATTGTCAAAAGTGGCTTATTTTAAATGTGTTTCCTAAACTCATGGAAGTATGTGTGGGGGTTTGTCTCCAGTGTTTAGTTTATTTTTACTGTCCCTACCCCTCATGTGTAATTAGTATCCTCACAAAAATGAAATTCTCTTATTTCTTCCTGAAGACTCAAATCCTGTCATGACATCCTGCTCAGTATCTTGTACTAGGTTACAGGCACTTTCTTTCTCTTCTATTTTAATTACCAGAGGTTTTTCTTTCTCTGCAGTAGCTAGGACTCCCACATTATTGGATTTTTTTTAAAAGAAATTAGGTCTGTCCAGTTTTTTTTGTTAGTCTATCCAGCATCCTTACTAAAATACAGTTTGTATTTCACTCTATTGTTGCTTTTTCCCAGCTTTTCCACTAGGTTCTCCCACACCAAAAGATAAAGCTATCATTAATTAGAAGTGCGCATATAAAAAAAAAATTGCATTTGTGTTTTTCTGCTTCTCAACAAGTTTTTTGAAAGTATCTCCTCACTTTTGAAAAGCATCTTAACCCTCTGAGGGACTTAAGTATTTGACTTTCACTAAAGGTTCATAGCAGAGCTGTGATTCCTGATACCAGACCTGTTTAGGTTCAGACAAGTCACTGTTCTTGTAGAATAAATTTTATTTTGCTCATTGTCAACTCAGAAACTGATGTGCTAAAAAAAAAAAAGGCATTGCCAAAAGATATTGTGTCACTTGGTTATAACAGACCAGTTACCTAAATGAGCACGGTTTTCCTTTCCCTGGCTTCTGGGGAGGTAGGTGCAGTGGAAGAAAGATGGAGAGAAGGGTTACGGATGTAGGAAAAGAAGGGAGCAGTTAAAGGCAGAAAATCTGGGAAAAAATCAGTGGAAAAAGTAAAGCTGTGTAGACATAATACTGAAGAAGGCAGTGAAACAAATAATGAAAAACATAATTGGCTCTGTGGGTGGAACATGCACATTGAAGGTGAGACTGCAGAGCTCAAGCTGATAAACTCTGCTGAACAATTTACACTTCATACTGCCTCTTGCATCAGGAAGAGGAAAAACGATGGAAGATGCTGGCGGCTGAGTAAAACAGTGTTCCTGGATGAAGATGGGGACAGGACTTCTCTCTGGGAGTGGACAGAGGTGTGTGTGAAAGGGAGAGGAGCAGCACTGAGGCCCGCTTGCTAAAAGGGAGGCTGTTTTCCCCAGTGGTCTGTATGCAGGGAAGTCAAATGCAGCTTATAATCACTAAAGGGTGTATTTTCATGGAGTCTGGAGTAAGGACCACAGTCCTGAAGTCTCTTACCTTCTGCCTTAATACATTTCTGGGATCTAATATGTCTCATTCCCTTTGTAGTGGATAACCCACAGAGGGAATGGTGGCCTATTCTTTCCAGTGGCTTCTTGCTCCATGTTCTTCAGAGATAAAACTTTATGTTGTGAATTTACGGATCTGAGGCCAGCTGTTGCCCATTTGGTATGAGCTGAAATTCAGTTTTTGTTAGCTCTTTCTAAATTTTTTTTTTTTTGCATTTTAAGAAATAATTTTAAGCACAGATTTAAAAATATTAAACTCAATAAGTCTGAAAGTTACAGAAGAGGTTGTGTGAGCAGAGCGACTGTAAAAGCATTATAATATGATCAGTCAGTTTCTTGTTTTGTGGCTTTATTCACAGAGGTCACTAGATGTAGAAATAATAAACTACAGTCTTTGAATCTTAGTGCATTTTAGAGTTTCTTCAGCATAATTTTTGTTATCCTTTATTCATGGAAAGCTGTGTTTTACATGTAGTTCAGGAGCTTGGCTTTCAGCTATGCAGTTTGTGTAGGTTTTGCCCTTATTTATCACATGGCCTTGTAATATCACTGTAGGCTCTCATGACTTCAGGGCTTAATTATTGTAATTCCCTTTTCAGTGGATTAGTGATGAGGCTAATCTGCTGTTTGCAGCTTGTTCACACTGAGGCAGTGTACTTATTTCTGGGTTTCCCTCATCATATTCAGCTTGCATTGTGGTTTTTACATTACTACCTACTACATAGTGTAATATTTAAGTTAGCTTTATGTATTAAAGGTCTGAATGGGGCATGTCTTGATTATACTTCAGAATTCTTTTTTTTTTTTTTGAGTGTGTGTGTTAACCTGAACTAATTTTCAAATTTTGCTTCAAGATCTAGAAAAAGTTTCAATCTGCAGATTAAATCATCTGAATATAGATGTCTGCATATTGGTGTCTATGTCAGGTCGGTCTTGAACAGTCACTAAAATAGAAAGGGCATAGAGGATGACCAGCCATTTAGTGCTGAGATATAAGTTGTTGGTGTTAATCAGGAAGCACTTGGATATTCTAGACATCCTTTTAGGACTAGTAGACACAAAATGATCTTTGAAATACTCAGTCTTTTTAGCATCTGAAGATCAAGTGGGATATTCTAGAACTTATCAAATGGCACTATACCTATGTTAAAAAGTTGATTCAAGCCTTAGGTATTTACTTTGAAATAAGGTGGATTACTCTCTATACTCCATAACCTGCTCACTAGATCTCTGTTGGCTTTAATGAGACTTCAGACACAGTTGAGGTTGGAATCTTCATTTAGGTTGCCCTGTTTTGGATCTAAATCTGACCTGTGAAGTCTTTCATCCATGTGATTTTTAAATAATGCTCCAGACCTTAAGCCTGGCTGCTTAATCTAATTAAAATTTTATTGAAAAAAATGGAGTTTTTTTTAGTTCCAGGGCATTAAATTCTTTCAAAACTCAGAATGTTTTTTAAATGTAGTAATTATTCATGGCATTAAAATTCAGTACTTTTACAGTGATAACTTTGTTTATAGTTTGTCTTGTGGAAGTAAAAATAATGTGTGTAGGTCTTCTGTGCCTTAAAGAAGGCATTTTGCATATTATCTATTGCAGATTTAAAGGGAAACTTGTTTGTATTTACATGGTTGCATGAATTGAGTGGAGATTATGCGCTAAGAATCACATCTGGTACTTTCTATTTTGAAGCGTCTCTCTTCAACAAGTTTCTAAGAATGGGTGATTTGTCAAGCATTTCTCTATTGTTAGTGGTTTGGTAAAGTCCTTTCTAACTTCAGAATTGGTTTTGTGTGCATAATTTGGCATTAAACTTGTAATTTAAACCTTCAGATATTTTTGGTTCTTCTCCTCCCTTAGTCTGTGCGAACAGCTGTAGTCCATAATATTGTTTTCCACATGGGATTTGAGTTGATGTGTGTTTAAAAGCTTTGAAACCTTTTCTGAAAGCTTTTCTTTCTAAATCTGTGAAATCCAGGAGATTTTTGGTATACCCACTTTGTTTGCCACCAAGCTAATGGTATTTGTCTGGTGACAATTTTAGTCTATTATATTGAAGTAGTGAAATAACTTTAAAATGTGTCCTGTATATAATACATTCCAGGCACATCTCACAATAACTGTAGCACAGGCATCTTCAGGAATAAAGGATTCCCAGTCCCCACTCCTTGCAATGGTTTAGCCTTGAGGCCATGGACGGTGTGTGTGGTCAGTGTGCCTGAGGGCTTTCTCAGAAGTTCTGGGAGCACCAGGCATCCCACACGGCCATCTGAGCTGTTAGTTTCCCCCCTCATCCAGCCCCCGTTGTACTCCTCCAAGATGGAAGGACAGGAGAAGGCTTTCTGTGTTTTGTCAGTGCTTGGGCGAAGCGCTGAAGGGTGTGTTTGACAAAAAAGGACTTACTGGAGCAGAAAACCTAGATTAGTCAAAAATGTTCTTAACAGAACTTCTTGAAAGTTGGTGTTATCTCACTTTTGTTGTTGAGTTCAATTCTGCTGTATTTGTCTTTTTTTCCTGTGTCTGTATTTAGTCCAGAGAAAGGGGAAAAATCTCACTTATAGACTTAATGTACTGTCAGCCTTTGACATTTTGATATAACTTCATGTAGTCTTTCTTTTAGCATAGCTATTTTGATGATTTTCCTTGCTAGTAATGAATAGTAAGATTGTAAACAATAAAAGCTTGTGTATTGATCTTCTAGAACTTTTTTTTTACCTTGTAGGCTGGGGTGGTGGGAGTGATTATGAGACTGGTTCAGGTTAAATGGAAGCATACATATGGGCATGTTCTGTTGGTTATACTTTGCTGGTTTAAGTATGGTAAAGGGTATTTTGTTAATTTCTTGCTGCAGTAACTAGTAGAGTTTCTCTTTAAGCCTGTGCTAGAAATAATGTCAAATGAAAAAATATTTTTGTATCAGATATGATTATATGAAAACACATCCTTCTGAGAAAATGCATCTAGCAGTGGTGGCCTGTGGTGAAAGACTGGAGGAGACTGTTACTATGTTGAGATCAGCCATTATTTTCAGCATCAAACCTCTCCATTTTCATATTTTTGCTGAGGACCAGTTGCATGAGAGTTTCAAAGACATAGTAAGTATTCAAAAATGTATTAAATCAAATTGTAGCACAATTTGTAGCACAATATACAGCAATTCTACTTGTTTGATAGAGGCAGAAAGGCAGGAGTCTAAGGTAACAAGGCATTCATAGTGTTGGATGGGGATCTTAGTAATTTTTTCATGTGTAAGAATGCCAGCTGCTGATACCAGTGTTTCTCCTTTCAAAACTTTCTGATTTGTAATCTTGAATCTGTTAAATACAAGCCTGATCTTCTGAAAACAAACCAGTTATTTTGTGTGAGCTTATTTAGAGGTGGCTTTACAAGAAAAAATGATAGATCTGTCCTTTTTTTGTCTCTGTGCTTACAGCATGAGTCAGTCTTAAACTGTTTAGAGAAGGTGAAACACCAGTTTTTGAATATGGTGGATACAGTTATGTCTAATTTTAGTAAATTTCAGTTAATGAAAATTACAATATGACTGGAGTAGCAAATTTAGAAGCTGATGAAGCTATAACTGGAGGGTTTGACTATTTTTGTGCTCAAAATGTCATATTAACTGTGACATTAGTATGTTGCACATGCTAATTTATAAACACTGTTATGTAAACAGTAGCTGTGGCAAAAATGGAATAAGATTAAATTTGGAAATATTTCATTGGTATTTGTTCTGTGGTAACTAGTTAAGAGGATTTTTAATTAATAGACTTATTTTTTGTAAATACTCACTTATTTTGCTTCGTCTTCCTTTTGCATGTGATCTAATATGATGTGTTTTCTTCATAGTGGCTTGCAGGTGCCACTTTTTGTTCAAGTGTTTTGTTTAGCTGACAAATTCTTGGATTTCTGTTATGGAAAAGAAGCATTGCGCTTGTGTTCAAAGTATCAACTTGAATCGCGAATTGATTTTTTTTTTTTTTGGTGATAGACTTGAAGTAATTTTTGTGTTTTCTTATTTTCACATAGCTTGAAGAATTTCCCTATGAAGGAAAAGTTAATTACACATTATATCCAATAACATTTCCATCTGAGAGTGCAGCAGAATGGAAGAAATTATTTAAACCATGTGCTTCACAAAGACTATTTTTGCCAGTAAGTTACTTTGCAGTAGGAAAATCCAGAAGTCTGTTTATGAAGCATCAAACTGTCCTTGTTATTCTGATTTCTGTTTGGTTTTAAATTAAGAACTACTACTACTCCTTAAAGTTGCTTTTTTGACATCCAAAAAAGCCCTCTGAATTTAACGTTTTTCTTTGGCCCTAGTACCCTATGGCATAAAATTCCTTTTCTCACTTGATGCGTTATGGCACAGTATCCTCAGAAAGAAGTGTAGGTCATGTCATCATCTCAGAGGTGAGATGGGTTTATCACACCTCATCTCATTCCCTTGGAAAGTCTCCTGTATGCATGGGTCTGGGAAGTGCTAGAGAAAAGGAGACAAGAAATGGGCTCTTGTTGCCAGTGTTTTGTGCATATGCTCATCTAAGACACTTCAGAGGACATGCTTCAGGCTTGGGGAATGAGAGCCATGGCAGCTATCTCCCAAAGGTGGGCTCTTAACGCTTGTTTGATCAGCTGCATGGGAAAGCGAGGGAGCAGCCAGAGAAGAGCTGCTGTTAGGGCTACTCCTGGCCTCCCCCTACTCCTAGGGAGCCCTGACATATAAAATGTAAAATGAGTGCCTTTGCAATGTTGTTCTATATGAAAATTATTTCCCTCTACAGAAATTCTTAAAAATGTGAGAAAAAGGAATGATGACAAATTTATTGATTGCAAACTGTCAGTGTAAAGTGAATTTATTTGCATATGACAACAATTTGTTTAACTTTCTTGTGTTTTATTAAGAGAAGTTCAATAAAACTTAAAATTTTGGTTTTAAATTTCTTTCCCTCACAGTTAATCCTCAAAAATGTGGACTCACTACTGTATGTTGATACTGACATCTTGTTTTTGAGGCCTGTTGATGATATTTGGTCTTTTCTGGGAAAGTTCAACTCCACACAAATTGCTGCAATGGCACCAGAACATGAAGAGCCTCGTATTGGGTGGTATAATCGATTTGCTAGACATCCCTATTACGGAGTAACTGGAATTAATTCTGGAGTCATGCTAATGAATATGACACGCATAAGAAGAAAATATTTCAAGGTATGTGTGTTGCCACAATATCATTTTTGGTGGATTTCCATATTCTAATTCTATTTCTGTTTCATATTCATATGTATTTTTCAAAATGTTTTTTCTGTAATTATAATAATGCTCTGAAAGTACACTGTGTTTAATGTAGTATCTATTTTTTAAATGTCATTCACTGTAAGACTTGAATTTCAAGTGTTCTTGATTGATTTATTTTTTCTTAGTTCTGAAAGATCCTTTGACTTGATACAGTTTGCTGTAAATTACATTTGCCAATAGATATGCCCACATTACTTCTTCACTACGGGCATCCCAGAAAAACAATTATTGTACACTTGTAAAATGTGTGTAGTTGTATGACCAGGAGGTGGTGCTAAAACATTTAGTACGAAGCTTGCCAAATTTTCATCTTTTACATTGTAGCCAGATGATTATCACCCTAAGTATCTTTATTTGCTTTGAAGTCCTAGTTTTTGTAGACAAAGAAGTTTTTCATGAAAGTAGCTACTGCTATGTGCATGGAAGCAATGCACACAGCTGTAGAAATGGTCATTGCTTCTCAGACATGTTTTTTCTTATGTACTTGAAACACAAGTACAAAAGCAGTGTTGTGTGATTATGCTTGGGGGAAAGTACATCTCTGTTTAAGAGAAGCTTGATTAGGGAAAAATAATCATGCGGTGAAAAACTTCTAGAAGATGCATCCCTAAGAGGAGCAATATAAATTTGCAGAAGCATTAATTCTCCCCCATTTCCAATGTAATAAGCAGCTTTCATCCTAGCATTCTTGCTATGTATTTTTTTTGAAGGAAAAGCAGAGAATTTAAGATAAATGGAGAATGGATTATCTCAATTGTAGTTAAAAGTAGAAAGTTACAGTAGCTGTAGTTTATGGCTGCAGTTTTTCCAAGAAAGCTTCTCTGTCATCTTGATACATATATATATACCATGAGCAAAGTCTTGCATTGTCTGCTTGGTTTGTTTTACTGATTACAGTATATGGAGAAATGAAAATACTGAAAAGTATAGAAAAAACCATGGGATTGAAAGCTACATATATCTTAAGCTCTGACAGTACATTTCTGTATAGTTATTTATTTTCAGTGTGGTAAACACTAAGATAAAGTTGGTCTTTTACTCACACTGTGCCAGAATTCTGGTTTGGCTTCTCGGTACAACTTAGGTTATCAAATCATTGGAAACTTAATTTTTAGTAAAATTGGAGTTCACATTGTCAAAAGCATACAGATTATGTAGGATACTAAAATTGTCAGTAAAATGAACTGTAGTTTTCTAGAGACAACATGAAGTCCTTTCTCCTTAACACCTACAACTGGTGTTTTCTTCAAATTTATATGCATGTATATACTTAAAACATAAGATTCAATTAAGTGAAATAATTAATGAGTATTTTGGAATTCAAAATGAAACACTGCACTTTCCCTTGGTTCTAGAGGGCTAAAATATTTGTTCTGTGACTCTATGAAATATGGCCTAAGAGAGCACTGAGCAGGGGAACCATTCAGGTTATTCTCCCTCAGTACCTGGAGTGTGGTCCCACAAGCTTGCCAGGTATCACAGTGCTCAAAGATGCACCAACTTTATTACAAAAACTACTGTTCATGGAAACTTGCAGAGACTTTTCATCTTCAGGTTCCTTGAATGCCTTATTATAAAGAGAATTGGTCAATAGGAATAGTTGCAGACATCAAAGCAAAACTTAGAAAATGATTTAGTGTAGCTGAGTCTATACACAGTGGGCCTGAGAGTGTATGACTTTTGGTTGTGACTGATAGCAAAGGAACGACTATTCTCAAACCTTTGGAAGAGAGATAGACCAAATTCAGGGTAGGGACTGTCCTAATACCCTTGCCAGAGACACTGCAGATGCTTTTGGACCTTAAAGTAACAGTTCCATGTTGTGTCCTACTAACTATTCCAGTGAAATACAGTAGAACTAGAAAATACTTCCTTGTGTTATTGGAAGGTGTGAATTTGTTTATATTCTTTCAGGAGGCTCAACAAATTCTTCAAGGAGTATGTAAATTCTTGGAATTTTTTTATCTTTTTAAAAATACCTGTAGACTTTTTTGCATGATACTGTAGTGCTAGAGCATTTGTCTGAAGTGAAAGTTTTGGATCAGGATATTCCTGCAGTGCTATGGATTTAAAACTGTGGGTTGTTTGTCTGTTGTAGCCCAAATTAGAAGCTGGGCTGCTTGAGGCCTTTAAGCATCTTTCTTCTGTTGTCACATTGATTTTTAAGAGTCAGGTGGATCCAGAAGTGGATAAATAAAAAATAGAACCAGAGACTTTAGCCAATGGTTATAATGTTCATCTGGGTAGCAGTAAGGTGTAGTTCCATGTACTGCTCCAGGAGTAAGTAAGCTTTTATCCACTTACCTATTTGAGCCTCCTCAGTCTTCTCAGGAGTGTCAGATCAGGCCATTTCAGACAAGCATCCCAGCTCCTTGGCTGTCGATGTTGCCTAATGGATGTTGCTCCTTCTGGTCCTGTCTTATTTGTCTCATATGTGGAGTCTGTGTGTGTGTACAGCACAAATACATGCACTAAATGCACACGTCAATGCTTGTATACAGACAGATGTGCATGCACAGATGTGTTACTGAATATAGTGTGTTCATTATACTGCATAACTGCACTAGAATTCATAATAAAGCTTCTGATGGTTAGTGTCTACATGTTGTCTCTGCTAAGCAGTAGTTAGAAAATGGGAATGTAAAGTATTCAAAACTGTTTAGGATATTGAAGAGGTAATAGTAGATGACTTTTTTTGTGTTTGTATACATATAGATGTAGATATATTTTTTAAAGAGATATAGCAAATGCTACAGGTATGGTGCTTTTAAACAAAAAGACCAATGAGGCAATGGAATAGAGAGGAATGACTTCTATCACATTTATTGAGAAGGTTATTGATGCCTGAGATGCAGGCAGTCAAGGAAAGGAACAAGCTCTTAGAAAATCAAACAAGCCCCAAATAAATTAACTTCAGATAGAGTGTGCAAAGTAGAGGTTCACGGGTATGCTTTAGGAAAAAAAAAAAGAAAGTTCAGAGAGCTTCTGTGACCTAAACCATTATAACTTTTTTTTGTCATTCATTGTTGCTTAGGGCTGTAGTTTCAAGAAATATGGTGAACCTGCACAAAACCAAATTGCTTCTAAAAGGAAGGCTCCTGTCTCTTACCAGCTGCTTTTCCCTACTTTTCTTGTTTACTTGGTTGTAGCCTTTGGTGTTTGGTCCTTTCTTGATTCAATTAAATTTAATAACAGTAGAAAAAGGAAATCCTTCTGCTGGGTTATTGAAGTATATCAGCTTACATAAACATGCAGTAAGTGTTAGCACTACATTGCTGGTGTAAGAACAGGGTAGAATTATGTAAACAGAAGGCAGAGGGCTGGCTCTCCCTTGACATTAAGGAAATTTAAATTGGTCAGCTGCTTGTGGGATGCAGCTGCAGTTTGTTTAGATATTGCTGTGTGATTTGAGAATTTTTCCTCAGCTTTATATTTTCTTCTTAGAATTGAAAAAAAATAAAAGCTAAATGTGACAGCTTTTGTCTGACTTCAGCCTTGGGCAGGCAGAAGTTTTCTGGTACAGCAATGAGTAATGACCAAGCTAAAGAAATAAATGAAAGCTCAACCCAAAATGTCAGAAAATACTTTGATGTTCCTCCATATATTTTCTTCTGCTCAAATAAACTAGAATTTTGAGAGTTCTTAAAAACCTGTCTGTATCAGTTGTATGTCATCACAGAAATGCCTACTATCATTTGGGTTTTTTTTTTCTCAAATAGAAACATTCTTTTGCATGGTGTGGAATACTGGAGAGAAGGTTTATATTCTGGACATTTTAAAATTAATGTAGCATTTTTTTTTGAGTTTTTTTACTTGAGTAACTTCTGCAATGCAATTCTATCAGAATCCTATTTCTCAGGCTGTTCCACCTTACAGTGGAATATTTTAAAGAAGGAAAACAAGTAATTATTCAAGCAGTTTCTCTTGCTCCTACACAGATGTCAATATATATCACTGCTATTTTATTAATATATAGCTATTTTCTATTTATGCAAAGGTTATGGAAGTATTACAATTTCCAGTTCTTAAATCTGACAGCACTATTTGTCAAGTAGTATTGCTTCTAGACATCTAGCTATGTGATTCATGTTCGTAGCTGCTTTGCATCTTCTTGGGATATCCTCTATATTTCTCTGGTATTAAAACTCTACAAGTGAAAGGAAAATTCTGTTAAATAATGACTTTAACAATTTAAAGTTTTATTTCTATGTGTTGCTCTAAAACTGTATTTGTTACTGTATATTATCTTACCATGATTTGCCTGGTATGATTGAGCTAATTTAATTCTGTTTTTAATTCTTAGCATTTTGCCTAAACTTAAACCTTAGGTCAGTGTTCTGGGAATTGCAAATTTCAGGTGAGGGAGTAATCTTTACTGACTGTGATTCAGTCTTATTTGCTTTTTTGGAAGGGTTTAGCTTAGTGTAAAGCCTGTGTTTTATTTCATTTAATCACTTTGCATTGAATCTAATGACAATTCTTACTAGTGAAGAATTTTCTTGTGCATTTCTTATGCCTGCACTCATTGAATACTTACTTGAAGGCAGTCATAATCATAAATTTTTTAGGAGAGGAGAGACTGTAATATTCTGTTTGGCTTCTTGCATAATACAAGGCATAGATCTTTTTTTGTATTAATTCTTGTCTGAAATCTTGTAGTATTTCTTGGTTTAGTCTTCAGTGCTGAAAGCCCTTCATATTTGATGGCTGAAATGATCTGAGGGAAGAGTAAAAACTGAATTGCAATTTTATGCACTTTCTAGTTTGGCAGTGTAAAGCTCACAGAAAGAAGTCTTTGATACTGTAAATCTCAAACTGAGTATTTTGCTCCTGGTAATCTGTCTCTTAACATGATATTCCTGTATGCAAATCTGAAACTCTTCTGGAGTTCTAATATAATTTTTCTTTCGGCAACTTGCTTGAAAAGAAGCAAGAGTACAATGCTTGTACTTGTTCAGGAATTTACTCTCTATGGGTCTTACTGCTAATGCATCCACACTCTCAAAACTTTGAAGTACAGAGTACAAAGTGAGCAGCCTTGCTCCTTTTCTGTTCTAGTTGGGTTAAATAGGGTGTAAAGAGGAGAGATTAGCTTTAGAATATGTAACCATTTAAACTGCAGATTTGAATCCCTTTGTTAACATGGAATTCAGTGTAGACCGATTTACTCCAAGTAGATGCTCCTCAACCAGAACCTTAGAAGAACTCCTTTTCTTTTGAAGTGATTCTGCTAAATCAAGAATTCAGGAATTTGGTATCAGCTGTTTTTTTGGCTCTTTACTGCTGAGAAGTTGTCCTCTGTTGATGAGGAAATTCAAGTTCAGTAACTAAAAAAAAATAAGTTCAACTTGATGAAAATACATCTGAAAACCTTTGAAGGATTTCTGTATTTTTGTACACTACTTCGTAGCCAGTATATTTTATCTGTATCTGTTCAGAACTATTTAAGAATTAATTTTGTATTGAACTGGTTAGAATTTTTGCAGTTATTGTTAGAACCTGTGTATATTATAACTCTGTGGTAAAGAGAGGAATTGCATGATGTGTGGATATTGAAGTACTCCTCATCTATTTGCTGCATGACTTAAATGCAGTTTTGGTATTGGATCCTACTGCTGTATAAAAAATCCTTTGCTATTCTTAGAATTCTTGGTTAAGATATTAGAAGGAAATTTTTCGGTAAGTTGATCATTGAGAAATAAAGCATATTGGAAATGTCAATAACGAGGTTCCTTAGATAAGCTTGTTGGTTTAAAAGGATGAAGTTATCTATACATTTGTATCTATACAAAGTTATCTTTGTAGTGCAAGCTACTGCGATTCTGTAAGGCATTTCCTTCCCTGTAGGTACAACTGTCCTGAATGTGTGTTGTTTTGCTTTGTTCTGCTGAACAGAATGATATGACACCAGTCCGGTTACAATGGGGAGAAATTCTGATGCCACTACTGAAGAAATACAAGCTGAACATAACATGGGGTGATCAGGATCTATTGAACATTATGTTTTTTCACAATCCAGGTAAATCCACATTGATTTTCAGCCTAACACTGTGAAATTATCTTTTCCATGGAAAAAAAATATCCAGGAAAAAAATCTAGGAAAATATTCAATAAGCAGGCCTTTGGGTCATCAAAGCCTTCAAGGACTATTCACTACTGAAAGCATTTGAGTCAGTGCTGGAGCTTGCTAGAGTGTAATTAACTGTTAGATTTCAGAAACAACTGTACAGACATTTATAAAGCTGTCCTAAATAAATAAAGAAAATACTGGTTTATTTCCTGAAACAATTTTCATACTTAACCCAGAGTTCTCATTTTTGTACACAGAAAGTCTTTATGTCTTTCCTTGCCAATGGAATTACCGGCCTGACCATTGTATCTATGGAAGCAATTGTAAGGCAGCTGAAGAAGAAGGTATATTTATTCTTCATGGAAATAGAGGTGTTTACCACGATGATAAACAACCAACTTTTAGAGCTGTCTATGAAGCGATAAAAAATGTAAGTGATTTTTGCATTGTACTTGTTATTCTTTCATGTATGTTTATCTATAGTAGTACATGTATTTTGTAGGCATGTTGATATTCACCTTGATTGCAACAAAGTAATATTTTTCACTTTTAAGTAACATCAAGTTTTTTACCACTTTTTTCTCTTTCATTGTTTGGATGGAGTTCCAGTATATTCCTGTTTTGATGAGCATCTTTTGATAGAGTGTAGACTGTATCTAGGTTAGAATTCTAGAACCATGCCTGTAGTTGGCAGTGTTTACTTAAAAGGCTTTATTATCATTTATTTAATAAATCACCTGGTGAATTGTTTCCATGAGTATTTGGACATCTTAGAACATCTGACTAGGAAGGGGCTGACACCGATCACTGAAATCCAAGTACCTGGCCCTGCACAGGGCCATCCCTGGGAGTCACACCATACACCTGAGAGCATTGTCCGAAGACTTCTTGCACTGTGCAGGCTTCATGCTGTGACCACTTCCCTGGGAAGCCTGTTCCAGTGTCCAATCACCCTCTTCTGGAACCTTTTCCGAGTATCCAACCTAAACCTCCCTTGACACAATTTCAGGCCATTCCCGCAGGTCCTGTCGCTGTCACCACGGAGCAGAGATCAGTGCCTGCCCCTCCTCTTCCCCTAGCAAAGAAATTTTAAGTGCAGTGAAGTCTCCTGTCAGTCTCCCCCAGGCTGAAGAGACCAAGTGCCCTCAGCCACTCCTCACACACTTTCCCCTGAGGCCCTTCACCCTCTTTGTGGTCCTCCTTTGGACCTTTATATCCCTTGGAGCTTTATATCCTTCTTGTGTTGTGACTGAAACTGCATGCACTGCTCACTCAAGGTGAGTGCAGAGTAGAGAGGACAATCTTTATCTCCAGGCTGAATGAGCCATCACCAGAAGTTTCATTCTTTTGGAGATTTTAAAGTGCAGAAAAACGTCTCTTGTTCCCAAAGTTTGTATGTATTTACTGCAACACTTTAATACCTAATTTTATCTAGATTTGGATTGTAAAGATTTTTTTTATATACTGTTTTGACCTTTTCCAGAAATTCAGTGTATTAATATGTTGCTGTTCCTTTAAATACTAAGCACAATGACTTCTTTTCATTCTGCAAATAAGTCAACTAATGAACCATTTATCACTACATCAGTATACTCACTGAAGAGCTGTAAAACTTAGCACTGATGCACATTTTAATGTAGCAGGCTACTGTGTGTGTATAACCTACAAAAATCAAGAGTATATTTTAATGTTGCTTTATTACACATTGTCATATAGGTATAAAAATGAAGAAAAGTACTTTTGGGGGTCTGAGAATACATTGCAGGGAAAGTGATTGTATTTCCATAAAAATATTATTTCTTTGTTTCCTTTGAGCATTGTCAAAAATAGAAGAAAAAATTATTTCCTTTTATTTATGTTCCCATTTCGTATGTGGATGTGTCAGAGAAAGTACGTAAACCACTACTGATTCAATGGTAATAAGATGAACAAAATTATGTTACTTCAAAATGCTGTTTTAACTTAGCATTTGTTTATAAAAATCATTGCAGTGTTGAGCTAATGACACCTTTATTTCATAACCATGTTAAACATAGTATGTGTTTGACCATCATTCAATTTAATGAAACTTCAGTACCACTCTTTATACTGCTGTTTCATTATAATCTGATAAGACTTGTATTACTTAAAGGTTATATGTCATTTGGGAAAGTTACCATACAACAAAAAAATATCCAGAAGTCATTTTAGAGTTGTAAATTTTTAATTGGGTAAGGTAATTTTAAAAATTTCCTCCTTGCCTGTCTGAATACGTTCATTTGCATAGCATAAAAAAATCTTTCTTAGGTTTATTGAAAGCATGAGACTATACTTCTGTAATTTAGAGGTGTTTTTAAATTATTGCATTCAGAAGCACTCATGAGTTCTTGAAAACATTTAATAAACCTATAGACATCAAATATGATGCTGAAAATAATTTTTATAAAACTCTAATACCTCTGAGTAATGACAGTCTTCCATATTAACCTTAAATTTTCTTAACCTCTTTACAGTATTCATTTGGAGATGACTTGGTTCATTCGCTGCTGCAGCCCCTAGAACGGGAATTACAGAAAACCACACACACATACTGTGGAAGAGTATACAAAGTATTCATAAAGCAGCTAACAAAAAGCATAAGAGACTTGTATGCCAGAAGATCAAAGGGAAGGTGATTTTTGACTCCTAGCTGTTGCATCAAGAGACTGAATTAACATAGGTGGTCAGAAGGTGCAAGAATTCTATTACAGCTTGAATGGGCTTTTAATGTGCCCAGAAAAAAGTTTACTAGCATACATAAAAATGAAGTAAATATTCATGTAATGAAGAGCAAGAACTTTTTTCTGCAACGGTGACTTTCTGGTTTTTTGAAGTTTAATCAGTGCTAATGTTTGTCTCATATCTGATGATTTGGGTGTTACTGGCTTCTATGGTCAGTAATTTTACTCTGCATAATTCAGTTATCTAATGATAAATGAACAAGGAAGAAATGAAGATGGCTCTGTTTGGGAGTGTACCTCATATATTGTCTAAAATTCTGTTAAACTGTGAATGTAGCAATAACTGAGTCAGCAGCACTAACCTCACTTTAAAGGTGTGAGCCTTTATGTAAACAAAGTTGTTTACAAGTGCAGAAAATACTCTCTTGTCAAAGAAATGTGTTTTAATCATTGACAATCTGTATGTGCCTTTATATGTTCATCTCTTACATGTTGAAGTACTGTTTTGACAATCTTGTTTTGTTTATCTCAGATGTAAACTGCACACTATAAATACGATTTTCTGAGAAATTAATGACTAGTATGTGATACTAGCTTTCTCTGTTAGTAAATACAGAGACGTTATATTAAAAATAATTTGTTTCAACATTTTAGAGCCATTAGCACCAAAAGGTAGAGCAGAACTGAGGGGGTTTAAGTAAAAATCCAGTTTGAAGTTGCTTGTCATACAACACTTCAAAAAAATTTCATGGTTTTGCAGCTTTATACTATAGGGCATTTTGAAAATAGAAAAAAAGCCCAGTGGTGGAAAGGTGTTGCTGTTGTATTTCCATACTAGGAATTATTACCTGATGATTGTTATAGAGTATGTAGTACCTAAAAGTGAATACTGTAGTAAGAGTTCTGATATTCAGACTGTGTAGTAGATGGGGTTTTTTTTAGAGACTGTTTCCTGTTATAACATCTTTTTTTAATAAATGGCTTTAAAATAGTTTTGGGGCAGACCCTCAACTACATGAACGCATTACTGTCAATAGGGTGATAGTGATTTGCAACAGGAAAGGATTAGATTTCCTCCAATTATCTTAGTGAAAAAAAAATAAAAACTTCTGTTTAAGTAATAAAAACTTTTTCTCCAGAGAAAACCATGAAGAAAAGGGCTGAATTCTAGTGTTACAGTAAAATATTTAAACTTGCATGGTATGAAATGTATTTGTAAAACATATATGAACTTAGATAACCTGTCTAAGTGAGGAAGTCTTCATAAAGTGAGCTTTTGGATTCCAGGACAGTTCCTGTGTGTTGAACATGGAGGATCCACTCACTGACTTGCACCTTCATCCCAACCCCATTTTAGAAGCTTAGTTTTTGTACCTGTTTTCTTGTTAAATATAGACTGGCTCTGACTTCCAGATCCATGTGAGTTGGACAAATGCATTAGCAGTACAAGAACACACTCCACTGTCAGCAGAATTTGTATCCTGCTTCTAATTTCCCTGCGGGCTCAGGGTATAAATTTTTGGGATGGAATCTAGGAAGCAGTCTGCCTCTCATGTAGGTCTCTTCTCCTTGCTGTGTAACCTTTTGAAGCCTGAAAATGTAGAAATCTCTGTGAAAGTGAATACTGTAACTGACTGATTTTACAATATGCAGTGCATTATTTTTTTACATAAATACTGATTTTTGTATCAATTTGTCTTCAGCTTTTCTTTTTACTTGTACTATGTGTTTATATTTAAAAAAATCTTTCGACTTGTTTTTATGTTTGTCTTTTATAGAAACTTTCAGTTTTGAATTTATTTTTAGTGTTTTGCAGACATGTCAAGATACTCTTAAAACCCAATGGACCATTAAGAAAAAAAGGGTAATGTGGACCTTAGCAGCAATCTTTCCACTTAAATTTCAAATTTTATGGGGCAGTAGAACAAAAAGAATTAATATTGATGCTTATTGTAGCACAAAAATTCTTACGTTGTGCTTATAACTAGAAATATTTACTTACCATATTACAAATAGCAAAATATGGCCTTATGCCATAGGTTTTGATTAATTTTTTAAATAGAAATGAAAACTGCTCATCTCAGTTCACCTCAAGGTAACACTCATGAACACTTTAGAAAAATTTTTAAAAAAGCAAGAAGCTTCTATTAAGTAATTTTGCAGAGTATTTGTCTGTTTCAATACATTTTTAGTTCTCTAATCCCTGTGTTTTAAATTTAGGCAAACAACCTCCCTTTACAAACAAAAACCAAGATATGGTATGTAAGGAAAACATTTAGAGACACTAAAAAGACTGGGAATCCAGATAACGTGATAGAAACCAGTTATGCTCCCAAACATTTGGATACCCGATTTGTAGGTTAGATGCTTAGAAGTGTAGAGCTTACATCTAGCTTGGGAATTCTTATTGCTCTCTAGTTGTACAAACACTGCATTTTCTACAAACATAGTGAGTACTAAGAAATTACAGACCTTTAGGAATCAAATTTTTAATTATTTGTTATAAAGTTATTGTAAAGTGTGAAGTTTGATAGAAAAATGCAAACATCAGGAAATATACATTCAGTTTAACTGAAGATAAATCTGTCTCCCTCATGCTTGATTAGTCTCTATGTCATGGTACCATTATTCTGTCTCTTCTAAAGGGATCACAGTCTCATGGTAAAGAGATCTGTGTGAAGATGTTAATATCTTATCTGGATGAACTTCTGTCACTCTTTGTAGACAGTATGAAAAGCAAGCTATCCCTTCATGGGACTGGAACATCCTTGTGTGTGGTGCTTGTGCCACTGCCAGTTACTAAGGCTGCATGAGCCTTATGAACATGTCTGTCCAGTTATTTGTAGTTTTGCCAAATTTTTTCTGTGCTGATTTTTATTGCCAGTTGCATTGGTTTTGGTAACCTTTTGGTTTAAGCTTAGAATGATTAAGAAAACAGGTTTAGGGAGGGGGGGAATATTTTTTATTATTCTTATTTTAAACATATTTTAAAAGAGTATGGAGTTGCCTTGTGCTGGTTTTGACCTAAATTTGTTCAAGTTGTAAACTTCTGGCAACCTGCTGATTGGAAGACTGAGCTGTCAGTGTATTTCTTGATTTGTACCAGATTTCTGTCCATACCAGACATACTCTGACCATTCAGCCTTTCCACACTTCCACCTGTACACTTTACATAACATGATGACTAAGAAGTCAGCTGTCCTTCTTTTCCTCCTCACAAATCATACTTCCTATCTACACAACATGAAAAGAAAGTAGCTACAATCTAGTGGTGGAAGGAGGATTTGGTCTGGGTCTGCTTGGAAGGTTTAGAGGCAGAACATGCAAGAGCTGAAGGTGTATTGTGTTAGCTGTATGTGCATTCTTGGGCTCTTTTTTTAGTGGAAATAACAATGAATTTCTGCTGCTTATTAACTCACTTTTACGGCTGTCGTGGTGTTTCTGGCAGACCAAATGGGGTGAAACTGAGCACTAACTTCTGCTTATCTGTAGGAAAACACTAGACTTCTGGTTTCTTCTGCCTGGTTTATAAAGATGCCTCCAAATGCATAGGCATATGTAGAATTTCTACTTCTTAGAAGGCTTAAGTTATTTTTCATTGTTTTCTGATTCAAATGGAAGGATTTTCAACTAGCAAACAGGTTTAACAGTAACCATTTATTGGCAGTATGGCTTTTTTTTTTTTTTACTTGACTAAGTGGAATATTCATGTATAATTAAAATGAATGTATAGGCTTTTTGTCCAGATCTTTTTAGTAAATTATCAGCTTTGGAGTAGTAACTATTTTAACATTCTCTCTCATAATATCTAATGTGATTATGATAGTTATTGTGGCTTTCCTGCCCACTTTGCTATTTTGTGAATGGATGGCATTTGAAATGCCCCCAGTGATTTTTTGTGTTAAAATAAGTTGCAGAGAACTGTAATGTGAATGTGTGACTTCTATTTGCAGAAAGTGGATTCTGCTGTAGCAGGGACAGTAGAAGCAGGAAGTAGTGGGAAGGTACTTCTCATCACCATGGATCTTCTGAAAGATCTTGTATCTATCTTATGGCATTTTTGCTGTCAGTCTGAGCATTTTTCTATGCACAGGAACGTAGAAGTGATTTTTCTGTTTTATTTCTCATCTCTTTGAATATCTTCTGTTTCTTTTTTGGAAGTTCAGTTTTGTCCAGCTGCATTTTTCTGTATATTTGAGAGGAATAACTGAAATTCCTACAGAGTTTTGCACAAATAACAGCTAAGTTATTTACTCAAGTTGTCCAAGTGGGCAAAGCATGAAGCCAGCGAGTAAAAAAATAACTAAACATGAGTGTATGCACCACAGGAAAACAAAAAATGTTTGATCTTTTTAACACTACAGAGAAACATTTGACAACATGCTCTCTGTATTCAACTGCCAAATCTTAAGTAATGCAGGATAATTTCCTATAGAAATGCAGGTTACCTCACAGTTGCATTTTAGTCCTAGTAGAGTATTCAAAACTATTACTCAGGTTTCAAAACAGAAGATGTTTACAGAAGTAATAGTGAATTTTCCACTTCAGGAAGTGAGGAGGAAATCTCATTTTAAAGTAGTTCTCAAAATCCCTCTCTTTGTAACCATTTAGTGGATCTATATAAGAGCAGCTTGTCCTGCAAACTTGTCATGAAATTTAAGATATGTTGGTCTCCTATCTTTTTTCAAGCCTTCGTAGGCCTATTAAAAATTTAAGTTTCTTGAAGGAATATTGAGTAATTGGAAATTCTTATGTTAAAATTCAGTTGTGTCTCTTCAGTTTTGTGGTTGCTTTATGCACAGCTGCAGTCAATTCTTGAGAGAGTCCTCATTTAAACTTATGAATGTGCATCTTCCTGTATATTTGCTTGCAAATTTCTGCAAGGCTTCTTTATGCTCCCTTCTGCCTTTTCCCTGCACTGCTTTTAAAAGATAATCACTAAGCTCTTCATTCATTTGAATGCTTATAAAAATTGCAGGAGGTATTATTAGAGGTCTCTTTGCAGAAATCTGTAATTAAAGGAGGACCTGTATTCCTGCTGTGGTTGGGGTTTATTTTTTCTTTTTCTTCAGACTGCTATTTGATGATGTTCAGGTAGGAGGAAGTTTGCAGCCATTACTAAAGTCATTATGTTGTTTGAGTGATCATCTGGTAGTTTCTTCCCTGAATGTCTACAAAAATGTCATGTGGATTTTAAATGCTTCTCCTATATCTGGGTGCCACCTTAGTTGCACAAACTAAGGACCCAGTCTATTCCCACTTACAGGTCATAAAATCATAGAATGTAAGTTGGAAGGGACCTTAAAGCTCATCTAGTTCCAACCCCTTCTCCTGGACAGGGACACCTCCCACTGCACCAGGTTGTTCAAAGCCACATATAGCCTGGCCTTGAACATATCCAGGGATGGGGCATCTACAACTGCTCTGGGCATGTTCCAGCATGTCACCATCTTCACAGTAAAGAATTCTTTCTGTTATACCTAATCTAAACCTTCCCTCTTCCAGTTTAAAGCCATTCCCTTATCCTGTCACTAAAGCCTTTGTAAATAGTCCCTCTCTTGTAGGCCCCTTCAGGTACTGGCAGGCTGCTCTAAGGTGTCCATTTTTTATTTAATTTCCTTGTTTTAGTTTCGAGCTAATCCATAGGAATAAAATAGAGGGATAACAAGGAATGCACAATTTTTCACAACAGGAGATAGATAACTACAGATTTCTGAGATATAGTTAACAATTTTGAAATAGTTCTCTATCCTTGAATCTAATTTCTGATTTGGTGGATGTGAGGATTAGTGTCCTGTGTTCATCAAATGATTGGACTTTTCCCTGTGTCAACCCCTTATGTGGAGGGATGAGCAGATAATTCTTAAAAGACTGATTCCTTGTTTACTGTGAATTTCAAGGAAAAGAACTATAACTTGTCACTGTAGATCCTTAGTATCATCCTATCTAAACTCTCTGAAATAGGAATAACTGCTCCCTTGCTGCTGTACTGTTGTATTGGTTTTATTTGTTTCTTAATGGCCATGCTAAAAGGGGAGGAGAAATGATGCAGTTATTTGCATCTCCTTGTTGGTTCCTGGCCTGTTGTCTTTGAATTGCACATAACCTTAAAAACCAACAACTAAACCCAATGTCAAAATCTGGGTCAAAGCCAGAGATGAGCACTTTGACACCCTCATTTAGGAACATGGGTTGTGGGCCATACTCATAGATTAGACAACAGGACAGTTTCCTTGTTCTGTTTTACCAAAACATATCTACAAAAGCAGGACTTCTCAAGTCTGATACACTTGTTGCTCTTTTAAGAATGCCAAACTTCTAAAATACAGGCATGTTATATTCTGAAAGTGTGTTAGAAGCCTTTAAGCATAAAGTCTGTAAGTGTTATGACTACTTTTCAAGGTACCTGTTGATATTGAAATAGTTGATAGTGATATAGTCTCACTATAGTGTTGATAGTGAAATATTCTCACTCAAATTCCCCTTCCCTCTTTTCCACAGATAATTTATTGATTTGTTTGTCTCCTTAGAGCAAAGGAAAAATTTGGGAGTTTGCTTTGATAAATGTTCGCTTGAAACCAAGCCAAATTTTGCAAGGGGAGAAAAGCGAGTGTGAAGTTTGTTTGCTAGGGGTTGTTTCTGCGCTTCAGACGCCTCTAAGGCCACAGAGTGCAAACTTGGGGCTTACCTGTGCCTTTCTCACCACTTGGAGAAGTGCTGCTAGATTGTGCTGTCTTTAATTTTCTCATTATTGGCATTGAACACTGATAGCTAAAAATGCTGTTTTGTGCCTTCCTAAGTGGCCTTTCTACTTTATGAAGCTTGTGTTAAATTATTAAACTGAGATGAGCAATTTATTATAATTTTCTACTACCTTCATATTCTGGGAGATCACTTTCCCTCCTGTTCTTCCTTTGGGTCATTTAATATCATACCCTCATTTTCAGAATTATAATCTGGGTACAGCAGATCCATTTCTTCCTCTGTGTCTTATGAATGTTAATGTTCTGCCAGTCATTTCTGTACACATTTTACTAGAGTAATTCACATTAAATCAATCTGTAATATTTATAAGAATAGCTTTGGAATACAAAAGTAGATGTAGAAGTTATCCTAAAATGCAGATCTTTGTGGCTGAATTAAGGAGTATTTGGGGCATGATTTTTTTGGCTTCCAAGAAAATTAAAGCCGCTAAAGATTTAAGACTAGGAAATCAAATTTAGTTAAAGCTGGTGTTTTAGCCTTATAATGCTGACCTGACCTACTGTATCTCACTGAACAGCTGGTGTGTAAGAATTGCTGCTTGCCTATTGGATTTCATGAAACTTCTGTCAAGTATTCAATGCAGTTCTGACTAGTCGCTGGTATTGCTATTTTTTAAATGTTAAAAAAATTTTCTATGTTTTACTTTATTCTTTTGATTTACATTTTTATGCCATGGATAGTATTATTCAAGGTGAATTTGAGCTGCAGATCTAAGCCCAAGAAATAAAAACCCCAATTTTGCTACCCAAAGTGTGTTATATATGTTTGTCTTTTGATTTTATATTATTCATTAGTCTTGTGGGAAAAATGGATGTATTGGGGGTTTGCTACCTCTCATCCTTTCTGCTTGTTCTTCCTGGTTTGTTTCCTTTCTTCACTACCCTTCCAATCTACTTGCTGCTTGTCTTCTCCAGGAGTTGGTGCCACTCTACCTGTCTAATCTTTCTGCATCTCACTGGCAGCTGAATGTGTTCTGCCGCCAGACTGCAGAGCTGTGCTTTCAGAACTGTTTGCTGTGATAAGGTAACTGTACCAGTCCAAGCCAGAAAGGCTCCCTGCAGCAGGAGTGCTGCTTTCTCCACAGAGCTACTGCATGAGCACCATGTCTGGGCACCTAAGCGTGTTCTTGACCCAGTGCAGTGCATAAGCAGTGCTGTGTGTTTCTTGATTGTAACTTGGGGAATAAATTGAGTTTCCCTTTCAGCTTTGTATAGGCTATTACAAAATAATAAAAATTTTTATTTTTCTGTAGAGATAAAGGCTTTTTACCAGAGGCGTGCTTCCAGGAAGAAAGCCTGGCTGTTGAAGCCATTACAGTTGAAAGGAGGTGATCTGAGCCATTCTGCTTGCCTGAGGCAGGCTGGGCTTCTGAGAGCAGCCTGAGCACCTGGCTGCCAGGGCACCTGGTGTCAGAGAAGGGCTTGGTCTGAGCCCTCTTCCTGTAGGTGCTGGATGACCTCTAAGGAAGAAGCAGTCTTCAATCAACTCTTCTTTCTGTGAAGGTACAAGGAGAGGAAATTGATTTATGACTTCAAAAGGCCCAAACAAAGTTTTAGAGGGATTGCTGAATACAACAGAGTGCACAGTATATAAAATGTTTCTGGCTGAAAAATTAACAGCTGCAAATAGCGCATTGAAACACACAGGATTTTGAGAAGTACCTCCTTAACTGGTCCATAAAAACAGTGAATAAACTGAGCAAAAGTTAGTGATGGTAGGATGCTGCTTAAAAACTAGATCAATATCTTATTTTTGCAGTAATCCTATTTTGCCTATTTTGATTATTTTTTGCCCAGAAGGATAGGGTGTAATTAATGAAAATTGATTTAACTTGAAGAATAAAGCATTAACAGTTTTCTATTGTAAGAAAAATGAAGCAGCTAGCAAATTCACATTTTTTTTTATGTGCTAGACCTCAAGCAGTCTCTAAATTAATTAGAAGTGACTTTATTAGCATATATTTGTCAAATAATACATTGAGTATTTTTATATATTTGCACAAAATAAACTTAAGTATTTTTATAAATTTTAGAGTCCAAGTGGCATTAATACCTTTTTGCAAAATACATGTATTTTGAAAACACCACATCCTATGCCATAACTTTATAACTGTTAAATGTGAAAGTGCTTGTTCTCCACAGGGAACAGTACTGTGTCTCTGAAAAGGTGTAATTTTTAGAGGAGCTCGTTTAGGTGGTGCCTTGTACATACCAGCACTCTTCATTTTCATCTAAATTATGACTCTCTGAGGATGCAAATTTATTTTTTGTGTCAGTAAAGCCAGTGTCCATTATGCTAAACAGCACTGGAAAATGCAGACAGTTTTGTCACAACACCCACTGGCACCTTGGCAAGCACTAGAGGAAACAGACTGAACTGAGTTTCTTAAGCAGAACCATTTAGGAGTACTGTGCCTGACTGAAATCACTGGCTCATGCTTCAAAATACCCCATAAGCACAAAGGAAATACAGTAATACATAGTCTTCAGCAAGAAAGATAAATACAGACCTTCTGACCTCTTCAGAAATCCTCCCCTAATTAGTTTTAGTCCTGAAAGTAGATGTGTCAGAAGCTCCTTGAAGTCCATTAAGGATTTTGCTATTGATTTAATATGAAAGTGTTCAGATACCCTGGCAATGGATGGCAGCATAAAGCACTGATAAATCAATTAATAAAGTTTGGCCATGGGGATGTTAGTTCATCCAGTCTCATCAGTCATATATCACAGGCCATCAAATCTCTCCCTGTTACAGCTGTAATGAACCCAGTAATTTATTTGACCAAAGGATAACTTGTGTCCAGCTGGCCCATGTCTTTCTGAGAAATGTCCAGTCCTGGTTTGAGTGCCTGAAGAAAGAAAGTGCTTCCCTTTGCCTGTTTGTTGCAATGGTTCGTTGCTCTCACAGTGATGAGTGTGTGCCTCACGTCTCATTTGAATTTTTTCTGGTATTAGGTTTCAGCCATGGATTCTTTTTATGCTTCTCCCCACTGGGGTAAAGAGGTCCTTAATATGCTGCAGTTTCTCCTTGTGGTGATACTTAAATGTAGCAATCAAATCACTTCTCAGTTTCATTTTGGCTAAGTCAAACAAATTGAGTTCATGAACTTTTACTCAAATACATCTCTTAGATTTTGTGGCTCTTTTTAATACCTTCATCAGTTTTCCAGAAGCCTCCTTAAAATATGGGCACAGCATAAAATACAGTATACAGGATTTCAGTATGGTATACAGTATAGTTAAGGATTTGGTAATTTTGATACATAGATAAAATTTTCCTAGTACTTTATAAATTTGTACATTGAGTGCTCATGTTAGCATACTTTCCATTCCTGGGCTTGGATCTTCATTCTTTGCTCTGGGGGCATTTGTCTTTGTTAGAGTGAGCTCAGCCTAATGCTCTTTCATCACAGTAATGCAGATTCAGCTGTGGAATTGCTGCTCTTATCACTGTTTATCATCTTACCAGGTATTATCATCTGCAAACTTCATCAGCTGTGATTTTATATTTATTTACAAATTACCAGTGAAAGCTTTTAATAATGTTGTCCTTCATAACTTCACTGGAAACAGCTTTTTTTATCTTTGATAAAGATTTTCTATCAAAGATTATCTGTTGAGAGTGGCCGGTTAGTCTTGCAGGTTTTTTGTGTTTCTGGTTTTTGTCTGCATAGCATAATTTTAGCTTCATGGAAGAACAGAATATATTGAGGAATAAACATCATATTTGTTTGACAAGCTTTATTTTCCTGGCAAGCACATTGATTACTTCTGATTGCAGTATTTTGTTTTAATTTCTTTCCACATAATTGCGACTTCTGTGATTTTTTTTTTTTGTGTGTGTGACAATAGTCTTAGTCGCATAGGAGTCTTAACTAAAAGTTCCTCAGTATTTTAAATAATATTAAAATTATTTTGATTGTTTTGTGGAATTATCTGGGGATTCTAAAATTTGTTGAACCTATTAACAGCAGTGTTCTTCCAGAAATTCTTTCATTATTTCCTACTGTAAATTGTCTAGATGTGCTGAATTTGAAATGTTTATACTTGGTCAATGTTTGCTTAACTTTCTTCTGGTTTGCTAATGGACACAAAAGTATTTCAACACTCACATGTGATGCAAATATATTTTACTTCTGAATTCAGAAGACTTACTTGAATGCCTTCACATTATCAACAACATTAATTAGTAATGAACACAGGTTTAATTTCTTTTGTTCTTCATTTATTCCCAAAAGTACAGCATTGTATCCCACTTAATTGGGAAGGGAGGTGGTGGGAAGAAGTGTTACTTTTCAAATTAATTCATTGGTAAGCACAAATACCATAATATCATTTTAGAGCTGGTATCTTGGAGATTTGTTGGGGTGAAGTCTTGCTAAAAACAAGGAGATTCCTAGTAATTTATTTGCTTTGGGATCATGCTAGAAGGTTCAGAGAGGCTGTGACACAGTATTGAGTCAAACAAAAAAATCAATACCCTTATCCCTATCTTTCCTTCTCTCTCTCTCTTTCTTTCTTTGTTTTGTGCACAAAGTTGCCTGTACATGTGTAGTACAGAGACACAGGGAAGAACATTCCTTCCCCAGCCTTCTAGATTTTTTAATATCCAGATTGAACATAGAAATGAAAAAGTAATGAATGATGGATGTTGCATTCGCTTTTCATGATGTGAAATAGCTGGTAAGCTGAATGAGAGTACATTTTAGAGCATAAGCAGCAGAACCCAAATACAGAACTTCTAGAAACGTCTTACAGTCACAGAAGGATTGAGTTTGGAAGGGACTTTCAACCCCACTGCCTAGGCAGGGCTACATAGAGCTGTTTGCCCTGGACAGTGTCCAGTTGGCTTCTGAATATCTCCAAGGTCTCCACAACCTGCAAGGGCAACCTTTGCCAGAGCTTGGTCACCCTCACAGTAAAAAAAAAATGTTTCCTGACGTTCAGAGGGAACATTCTTCGTGTCAGTTTGTGCCTGTTGTTAAAATTACTGAAAATCAAACAAGGAGAAACTTTGCTGGCAAGGCCAGTACCTGCCTCAGAACAGAGTTTGTGTCTTGCGGTGTATTTTCTCCTTAAAGTTGACAGCCTAGTTATATCAACTTAGCAAATTACTAGGAAATAAACAGATTATGAACTTTGAAGGAATGGAGATGTTTTTCCATGAAAACATTTCTGCTACTAATAGTACATTCAGTTTATTTCCATCAGAGTGTTTTAGCTTTTGTGTCTGGTGTCCTTGAACGGGTCTGTAAGTTACTTTTTATATGACGATTATTTGAGCAGCAAACTTGAATTGATACAAAACTATTATTGTATTGCAATTATTGTTAATGGCCTCGTGCGTAGTTATATTGCCTAACAGTTCTGAAGTAGTTATTTCTGTTGCATTCATGTAAAATTTAGGTGCAACTCACTTCTTTTTTATCACTGTAATAATATTGAACCTCATAACTTTGTAATGGGAAGGAAGGATTTTTGACTGTTGTTTATACAATATACCAGGTACTACTTTTCAAATATTCTTTGGTGCTACCTGCTACAACCCACCCCTGAGGCAGATTAGAGCACAGCATCCTGCTGCTTTTGCAAGTGGCCAATTGTTTGAGTCATTAGCCTTTAACATTTCTGTCTTTCACGCTGCCTTAATGAGGGACTCATGCATCAGGAAATTTATAGCTCCTTTACTGAAAACATATATTGGATTCATAACACCACATTCTCTGAATTAATGGTT